GGATCTTCGAAGATCTATGGGAAGCCTCCATGGTCATATTCGGCATCAGCATGCTCGATAACCTATAACCCCTATAATATTTTGGTTCAAGACCTTCAGGTTTAACTAGAGGCAAGAAAGGGTTAAGCAATAGATCAGTTTGTTTTGTTTTAGTTTCGCAGTTCATGTGACCAGTCAAAGCGATTTTTTACGCCCTCACTTAAATACTCATCAATGGGACGTGTACCGTCGTTTACTTGACAGTGTTCAAACTGCGTCCAACGGTCCGGACATGTGCAGTACATTGAAACATTCATCGTCAGTCACATCTAAATTAATCAGACCGTTATTATCGTTTACCAATCATAACCATCAATTGAGTGTGGCCAGAAGATTTATGCAACAATTTGGTATGAGTTATCTTAAGAATCAACATGAATTTCGATGTCAAACAACTGGTTTACCACCAAGGTATTCAACAACGGTGGCCAAAACTGGTAACCGGAATGCGGGTACAATTACATCTTTTCTCGAGCAATCCCCCTCACCCATCGGAGAAACATGGGTACTGCCGCACGAACCAAGTTAGACATCGTTTAAGGCCATTAACTGAAAAAACTATACGTATTCTCAATCTTTAGAGCGATCTCCCCGACCATGGCGTCCAAGAGAGACGCACTTATTTTCACCAGTAAACTATGGGTTTCGGGTGAGTAGTTCGATAATCTTTTTTGTGAAAAATCGTTGATATGTCGCCACGATAATCGCTTTTTATCCGCTATAAGTCTGCGCATGTCATCGCCGGCGTACCACAGTCCATGAGGGAAATCAGACCATTTCCAGTGCGCAATCCAAACCCATGGTTTGATACAGTTCCAGACGCATCGCTTGAAGCGTCAACACTACCGCCGCCATCTTCTGTAAGTCAGGGAAATTTTTTTGATATATAAGCTTTTCAAATAGATGTTGCCTTTCTTGTAGGACTCAAAACCACATTTTATGAAAAAACCACTTTGGAATAAGTAGTTTATTTACTTCACTACATAATCATTTGACATAGAGGGTTTATTATATCAAACCTTCACAAGCGATTCAAATGTTTTAGGCGCTGCTCGCCCAAAAAAGAAGAACGAAACCTACTATCTCCATGTCCTGGTTTATCCCTACCTCATCATGAAACACCTAGTCCAACACGGTCTGAGGATGAGATAAGACCATGGAATCGATGGGTAATTATTCTTTTGTTCATCATCAAGTGAGAATATATAATATACTCTCTCATGCATTCTTTAGCCAACAACAACAACACTTCTCCGCAATACTCAACCAGCACAAATATTTGCTCGAGAAGCATCAAGTAATCAATTTTTCTATGATGACAAAAGATCGATGGCTGGTTGGTAAGTGTTCTTTTGTCCATGTCATACACCGCTCTGCAAGTTTAAACATTCTAGGAAAACACAAACTTTACATGATGATCCACTGTTAGTGACACCTTCATCAAATGGTTTTCCAAACATTGAAATGTTAAAACTCTCTGACCAATCTTTAGAAAACAGCGGTGAATCGTAAGTTAATTATTGACATTTATTTTCTCATAACAGCTAAAAGATGTGGACATAATGAGCATTTTTCGTATTTTTGATTATTTTAAAAGCATAGAATCACCGTTACGCTTTTCACCGTGATTTTGCTGATGATTCGAAAATTGATGATATACCTTTATATTAGGAGTAACTTTCTGATCAATATATAATTTAACCGCGCGTCTAGCTAACACATGTACTATTTGAATATTTCAGAGTGCATATGTTACAGCCAACAATTAGAACCGTCATGCGTCCTGTTCTAGATCTTTTGGTAACTTTTCCAACAAAAATAGATTTTCTATTAGGTTAAATAAACAAGTGTGCATATGTCAGATATTCAGTCACTCTTATTTTTAAGTAGTCTAAGTTTTCTTCATCGATAGGACACACCGGCAGTCAGGACATATCATCAGTCACAAACACCCATAAGTCACGAATGGCAACAAGAGACCAGTCCCAAATCGAGGATTGTACAACAAGAAGTGGGCAGATCCACATTAAGTGATTTGTCTGATACCTCCGAAAGACCGGTTTTCACCATCAACCGATCATACTGGCAGAACATATGACATTTTACCAGCTCTAGACGGCACAGATGGAGTCGATGATATATCAGCTGGCCACAGAACGTATTCGGTTTACTCATCTCCGAGAGAGTGGTCCCCAAATTCCGATGACGAGCTGCTCGAAGTGGATGAGGAAATCCAACAGTATAGAGAAGCATACAGGGATTGTAAGTTTTCTTTCATTAAACTTGATATTAAAGTTGAATGCAAGCTTGGCTTGTAGTAATGGAACAGCCATATTTACCTGATGAAGATAATGCCGATTTTCAACGATATGTACGTTTAATGGATCATGATAGAGCAATGAGACGAATGAATGCGCCAGAAATAACAAATCGATATTCAACAGTTGCCGCTAACTTATTGGGCAATGACAGAGATTGGGAGTTAGATAATTATTCTATACGCCCAGACACTGCTGATGTGGTCGAGAACGTAGATGAAACATCTAATGAGCAAAGATTGCCAAGTGAACGAAGCGCATCGTTAGCTAGTTGGGATGGTGTAACCAGACATACTGTCTAGAAAATTATCAGTACGAAAAATTACACTTAGCTATTTCTTCATTCTTACTAAAGTCGCTTATTATCAGCATATCACTACTAAACATTTAAACATATGAGTTTTATTTCTGTTTTGTAAATAACTTTGTTAGAAAATCGAACAAATCAACTATTGGTTTATGAATTCGGAGACTTTATCAATTAGAAATACATCCCCCCCCCCCTAAATCGGTTATGTTTGTCAAAGTTCGGGTACCTGTATAATTGATCTTCTGTCCTGTCAAAACTGTTTTAATGTAGTTAACTACTAGTTTTTTAATCTGTATTCGTGAAGAGTCGTTCACATTTGTTCGTTTATCTCAATGAATTCTGTTATTGGATTATAATCTATATCCAACACAATATATTTGGTAACTTTTAGTAACAGCAAAAATGATTCGTTATCATTTTAGAAAAACAAGTTAAATTTTTGAAAATACTTTTTTGTATAAGACAAACAACAGTCGAAGTGAGCTTTTATTTTTTGCTCTTCTATAAGACTCATTCCGATAATCTTTGGATTGTAACTGTAGTAAATATAGATGAATGTTCATAAATAAGAGTATGATCAAACAAACGTATAATACGAAGGTCATATGGAGCATGATATAGTCAGGGATCTGAGTAGGTGTCGGACATTGGGACGGTGTAACGAAAGTTTTTTGTCCGAGATAGTGTAAACTTTATTTTAAATAATTACCTTGTTACTGTTCTTTTAAATTTTTTTTTTTTGGGGGGGGGGGGGGGCCCCCCCCCCCCCCCCCCCCCCTATTTGGGAACCCTGATTATGCAGCACAGATAAAGATATAGAAACAGGAAAAGTGTCTGTAGAATGGTGCCACTTTTTTGTGGCTAAACATGAGTATTACACTATGATCGAAATTTTTGTAAAATGAAATAGAAAACTTCGTGCCTGTTATGTTACTAAGCTGCACTTTAACTACATACAACTTGAGTATTCTGATTATTATCTCCCAGTTAATTAATACTGCGATCGGGATATTTGAAAGAGTTGTGAAAAAATCATTAACACAAAGATTATGACTTTATTCCATAGAACTATGAAAAAATAATTTTAATATCGACGTTTAACATGGGGTTTTCCGGGATTGGCTTCGGAGTAAAAAATAACACAAATTAAGTTTACTGTCTTTAAATCTCTAGGCTCAACTATGTAGTGTTTGTAGAAAGCGGTAGAAGATAAATGCGCATAATTCCATAAAAACTGCTACTTCCGTTTTTGTCATACTGTCCCATAAATGACTAATCTAATACACATATACTCCGAGTTTTCTTAGAAATGATTCTGGAACTCTTATAACAAATGCATTTTGTAGAGCAAACATTTTTCTACAAAATTAGATGTTTTACAGCTCTGAGAGAATCGTGATAACTGATTTATAGCAATTCTCCCGGGTGCCCCAACACCAGTTAAAAACTGGTGCATGCCTAATTATTTGGCGTTTAAATAAAATCGGTTTTCTTAAAAGTTTCTTTTATCTGATAATCAGTCAGCAGGATGCCTTCAGAAATATAAGGATTATTACCCTAAATTTCTGAAGACTATCCATCAAAAATATCAAAATATGATGATTCCTGTAATTCATTGAGAATGCGTGTAATATTGATGATAATCTTTCGTTTATTTATTCATGTCAAAAGACGGAAAACAACATTAAATTCAAAATGAAAGAATTTATTTGAGATTCAAAAAAACATCATTTCCATATGGATACCGAATGTGAAGAATACGATATTAAATAATTTGTTAGTTTGGGATATTCTTTGAATTTTAATACAATTAAGTTTTGTTCTTGCAACCTGAACGGAAAATATGATGAACTCCTATTTATACGTAATATATTCAAGAATTTCAAATCATCAAATGTTTCAACACAAAACTTGACCAGTTCATTAACTGTGAACTTGCACGCACCGTGTAGAATAAAGTAGTTCAAGTTTGGAAATGATTTTGTTAAATAGTTAAATGTTCTACAATCATATTTCTCATGTACTATTGCTAATATTTTTAAACGTTTAATTTTCGTTAGGTATAACAATAAAGTTTCATCTGTAAGATAATCTTCAAATCTATCATATTCTATTTTCAGTGTATGTATGCACGCGGTAATTGATAGGATTTGTTGAAATAAATTCAATTTTTGAAATGATATCAGATTATGGTCAAATGTCAGCACCAATTCAGAAAGTTTATTTAATTGTCTTGTTTTACATATGAGTTGTGATTGAATTTGACCATCCTAGATAATAAAAACAAAACAATTGAATCAATTAAGAGAAAATAAAAACATACTTCTGGATTTGCCCATTGTAATTTTTATTAGTAAGTTTTTGGCCATTGAAATTTTACTTAGCAGATATACCCATGCGGTTTTTTTTGTATAACCCTTAGAAAGATATATGTAAGAGTGCCTATAGACAGAATTGTTTGTTTATTTTTGAATTAGAATCTAATTCAAAAAATAAAAGAATCTCATTTCATTTTTTTGTGTTCTTTTTGGACCAAAAGTCTTTTGGCCCATCGACAAAAACCTTGTCCATTTTGCCCATCGTTTTTTTCCGATACAATAGAAGTTTGCCCATTATTAACGTAATGATTTTAAATGGACGATTACAGCTTAGAAGAAAATACAAACTACGTTTTTCATTGCCGTCTAAGTGTGTAAGGATGAATGAAAGTTATTTTCCTTTAGCACGATTCAGTCTATCCGCCGACAATTGCTCAATGTCACCCGTTAAATATTAAAGTTAAATAAATACTCTTAATTTTTTGTCGTTTAGGCGTGGTATCGGATTTCCTAGAAGCCCCAGGACGAATATCTGATGACTATTGCTAACCTCGAAAACGGATGGATTGTAAATAATCAGCCATGCTGAATCTTGTGGCAGCGTTTGCTTTTGTTAGCAACCACTACTGCTCAAATCTTGTTCAAAAACAGAAAAATAAACGTGACACTCAAAGTGTCACTTATAGTGGCTAAGTGCCGTCTAAAGTGACTGTCACTCATGAGTGTGTGCAGCCACTTAGGAGGTCGTTTACTTCTAATATTTTCTCCACTGTTTATTCATCTTAACTGTTGAATAGTTACATACTCGGCCGCTCAGTGTTATAACTTGTTTGCTTTCACAAATATCTAGACATGGTCTTCTTTCTTTTATCCTTTTCACTCTCTAGAATTCATATATAAATACATGTATATTTTTGCTTCTAACGTTGCACTATAGATTGTTCATAATAAAAATTATATTTTCGAAACGTGGGATTTTCAATAAAAATTAAATAATGGATTTAAAAATATCTTCTGTTATTATCTAAAATTCTTACCCGTTTATAAAGTTAACATTTCAATTATGCTAGTTTAAGGAATACGATTGATGGGCAATAATTTCAAAATAAAAAACACGATAATAGCAGCGTTCTTAACTTCATTAAATATTTTATTTAGTTCTAAATTATTTTCGACATTCGAACTATACAACGTTCATTTTCAAGAATAAATAAATAACATGAGTCACATGGAGTTACCGTCCATTGACTGTAAGTCGAATGAATATACTGTCTGGAATATTATTCATTTTATTGTAAGTCGATTTTGTTACTACAGAATTGAGCGATACTTTTTACGATGAGAGCGTACCACAATTTTAGCAAAAATACTATTGTAACAGCAGCTATTAATGGTGTCTCTAAAAGAGTAGTTCCCGATCCATGCCAAGGATAAATCTATCTGCTTGGCCATTTTAGTTATCTTATTCTATTTGTTTTTATCGTTCTGTTCGGTCAGTAAGTGCTATGTGGAGAACATAATTAGAAAACTGAAATGGATTGTTTTTAGGTCATCTGTCTTTTTACAATGGTATAGCTATCGCAGATTTTCCAACTGTCTCTTTGTTCCCGTGACTTTAGTCTTGCAAGATGATTGCTTGTCTCTGGGTATATGTTTAAAATACGAAAAAACGGCTGCCAGATATATCGTCGGTAAGCCAACCATAAGGGAAAAAAAGTAGAAAGTTTTTTAAGCATGAGCGAGAAAACAAGGTAGCGCTCGTCCGCACTCGCTCGGTCCCTAGACTTTAGTAACTTATATCTGCGAGCGATCTTTGATGACTTTGAATAGAAGACAAGGCTCACATCTCCCTTCGGCAGATGTTAGCTAAGGACTATCTACAATATGTTATGAATATTTCTCTGATTTCATGTGTAAGCTTCATAATGTACTTATAAAGTTTTCTCGAGACCCTTCAAAGAACCCTAGAGGTCTAAAAATATTTCAAAATTCGAGACAATGTTCACGCGTCCCACCGGTCCGCGCTCGCAGCCAGGATACGTGTAAATGCACTTCTCTGATTCCACAGAAAACCCGCACGGATGTATGTCCGTCACATTGGCGCCTGATTATATGTATGTACGTCCATCACACTGCCACATACCTATATGTATATACGTCCATCAAACTCTTTAGTCACTATCTGGACGTCCGTCCGTCACACGTGCGTACGAACAAACACACACACACACATACAAACAATTTATTTCGTATGACCATAGACTTATAGTCAAAGGAATAAAATAACAATGCACGTAAGTTATGATAGCCAAAATATAATTATACTAAAAAATAAATTAGTCATATTTTCGTTTTTTAAACTTTTGTTTTCCACCGCATAAATACAGCAGCGTTAGTCATCGAAAAGTCAAACTTAAATTTAGTCTTTTGATCTTTCTTTTGCATATATTTCGATGACCGTAGAGGCCGAAAATTTTAAATTTCATAAAAGAAAATTTTAATTTTGAATAAAAAACGATTACATTTTTTGTAGAGCTGCAAAAGTCATTTTATTTATAGGGGACAGATCTGCCTTCAAAATTCGTGGCAAGTCTCGTACAAAGGTCATTTTCAACACATTTCAATAGACAGCAAGGTGTCTTATCCTTGGGTAGAGTGAAAAACGTTGAACGTA